GATAGCGTTAATACTATCACGTTAAAACGTGATACGTATCACGTTTTAACAAGATACGTATCACGTTATAACGTGATAGCGTTAATACTATCACGTTAAAACGTGATACGTATCACGTTTTAACAAGATACGTATCACGTTATAACGTGATAGCGCTCGGAATTTTTTTTTCCTGCCTGATAGCAACACGCTTCCGTATATTTGTATTGTTTTCTTCTTGCTTTGTTTATATAATTGTATTGTGTATACGTTTTCCTTTGTGTAAAAATTTACTTACTAACTAAAAATGTTGTAGTCCTGCTTTCTGAAAATCTCTAAATGACATGTAGAATTTGATAAACATGACTTGGAATAAGCATTGAAGTGTTGATGTACTGAAGTAAATAAGTATATAAACAGCAGTCAGTAACAATAAGCATATAATTTAGTAGTATAGTATTTAATAGTAAAAACTGTACGTACTGTACAAAATTAACACAAGAAAGGCTACTTGTGCTGTTGACCACAGCACAAAGTCACAGTAGCTAACATTACACACAAACATGTGGAGTTGTGTCTGATGGCCGTATGTGTGACTGCTTTAAAGTGAAAGATTTGTCCAAACAGAAACGAGTGTTTTGTGTCCATCCATCAAAGTTTTGRAGGTATTCGTGCGGACACTTTCTTCCCACAGCAGCTACAGCTTCCTGTGCCGTCTGCTGATGAGGCAAGGTGTGGCTCAGAAGGCCACAGGAAGTCACACAGAAACGTTTGTGACTTTTGGCCATAACATCTGTGCAGTTTGCTCCATGTTTTGATCCCCACAGCACAGATGGAACATTTAACGCTTTTTGGTCGTGCTGCATTATATCCATCAGATGCTTGTGATCCCACCAGCCCTATGGATGTGCTCTTGACTGTGACTGCTGTCGGGGTTACAGCTTCCAGTTTTTCACACTGACAGGGCTGTGGTTTAGTTTTTTTAGCCTGTGAAACGTTTCCTCACACGTCACCTGTAGTTCCTGAGGTGTGAGGTCCCTGGATGATGTGCTAAATAAAGCGGTCAAGGGCTCAGGTAAATCAGGACGCTCCTCTTCGCTGTCGTCAGATGAAGCTGCAGTTCTCGTGTGTCATCATCTGTCAGCACTATTAAAAGATCAAACAAAGACAGTTAAGGTGGTGCTTTATATCCAAATCTTAAATAGTGAGGTGACCTTTTAAAAGCAGGTCTCCAGACTGCATCTGTAATTAGGAGTAGAGGTGATCGGCCACTGTTTGTGTTTCTTATGAATAAAAATTAAATGTAATTGTGAAMTGTATCACTTGAACAAACACGTTAGTCTGGAGCCATGAAACATGGTTAAAGTGGAACTTCTCTAGCCTCTGTTTTCTCCTGTAATTTCATATTTTTCTGCACAGTATCTTGCTTTTATTTTCATTTTTTATCTCACTTCATACACAAACACACACACATATATACAGGTAAACACAGATAGCCTTAGAGGGCGGAGCTTACACGAAATAGAAGCTTCAGATTTCTTTTGTTGTTTAGCTGTGATGAAGCTGTATCCATCAGGCCCACATATCCCCCGTCACCCATCTAGTTAAAGTTGTTTTTATTATTTAAAGTAGGCTTCGCGATCTTTTGCAGATAACCCGCTAGCATAGCTTGACAATACTCCGCTATGCAGAGAAAGGAATGCGCGCAGCCGCTTTGTTTACAAATGACTGAATGGGTCTAGCATAGATGCTACATGTAAAGCTAGCAGTAGACTGCAGTAAGGTTTACTGTACCTGTTTAATAATGACAGGAAGTGCAGGGACAGGATCCGGTTAGTCCAGTCCGTGTTTTACCTCCGGTTAAATGTTTGAAGCAGACGCTAAGTCCATGATTTTTTTTTTCTTCACTGCGCTCGACCCCCCGCTGTTAGCCTAGCATGTCCGCTCGGCCGGGAAAAGTGACAAAAATATACTTGTTCCAAATGGGGATGGTGGCTGTATCCACCGTTACAAAGACGGCAGCACTGTTTTGGGGTTCCGAACTTCCGGTGGAGTTTCGTCATCACTACGTCATCACCTTCCGGTGGAGTTTTTCCAGAATTTTTTAATACGTCATCACAAGATCAAAGGTCAGCCAGTTAGATTATCATCTTATCATTATTCAAGTCTTCTGTTAGCTAAAGGTTGCCTTTTTTCTCTTCCGTGGATCAACTAGATTTGAACAATGTTTTTAGGAGAGTTTAAGAAAGAGACAGAATTAGATTTAGACGTTGGGTCCGTTCTTCAGGGTGAATCCAATGTTTATCGAGTCGTAAGTATAATAGATACCGGCATTTTTGGCCAGGTAGTTAAATGTGTCATAGAAGGATCCAGTAAGGAGGTAGCTTTAAAAGCTGTATTGCCAAAATTTGGTCAGTACGCCAAAATGGAGAAAAATACAATCAAATGTCTTGAAAGAAGTAATCCTGAAAAATACCGTTTTGTGAAGTGCTTGGAATATTTCAAGTTTAAACGTTATTAC